AACGGTCCCCGTTACAATTAGCACTAGTTATTATTATGCTGACTGTTGTAATTATTTATGCGGCAATCCATTTGACTTTTTCCTGAAAATATCGGTGCTAACACAGCGCACTTGCAAGAACTCATTCAAAATCTTCATGCTAAAATTGGTTGCATGCTTAGTTATTTTGGTTACTAGTATTTTTTCTAAATAGGTCGGGATTTTCTGTCCCAAAGCAACTCATCTTTATTTTCTGTTTTGTTGGTAAGTCTTATTTGTTTGCAGACGTCGATTCTCATTGATAATTTTCTTTTATATCCTTCAATCAAGCGTCATATAAAAAAGCGTTTTAATGACCCTATGAAATCAGTTCATCTAACGATCTGTATGTAATTAGTTTGAATCTTTGTTGTACACATTAATCTAAGGTTCCTTAGAATAATATAACTGTTTTCAAATAATATTTGTCTATTTTCTCCTTCTTGTGTCAATTGTATAAATTAAGATTATATATATAATAAAATTCTCCCTACCAGTGATCGACTCTGTGGCGTAATCGATAAGGCATCGGACTGACAACGTCATGGTCGTGAGTTGGATCCCCGGCGTGTGTATTGAAGAATTTTATTCAGTAAAAAAAGCCGTGCACTATTTCGGCATAGTATGTTTAGGCTATATAAATCCTTAGACCACTATGCGAGAATAGTAGGGTATGGGTTATATAGAGACAGACTGACAGGAAGCATAATAATACTTGATAGATAAGGGACAAGCTGAATCGTTATGCAGTTTAGTTATTAGAAGCCCGTTGCCCATCTTCGCTAGCCAAGAGTTTCCCATCCGAAATCTACTCTACAAGTAGATTTCGGATCGGAAACCCTTGGCTAGCGAAGATGCCCGTTGCCGTGTATGTAGTAGTTACCCCATATCATACTGTTGGTTATGTGTAGATACCCGATGGGCGTAGTCATAATGACAACTCGGGAGCTACTCGGGAGCTACGCTCCCTCGTGTCATTATGACCACGCCCATCGGGTATCTACACATAATCAACAGTGTGATATGGGGTAAATGACTTGTACCATAGTTTTCAAAAATCATTCATATGTAAGTCAGCTTAGGAATCGGTCGGACTGGTTCGCGTGATTGAAACATTAAGTGTTTGATTTCAAAGATGCATTTGGATTTTATATGATTTTACGCTCCTTCATTGAATATAGGGTAAGTGATTTGTATACAATACTTTTCAAATTTTGCTACAAATTTTGCCCTATACTTGGCACTCAAGGACATTGAGCAGTGAGGGATCTTCTTCCTGTCAACACCTTCTGCGACACGGGACCTTTGTTTACACTTTATAGGTCTCCACGTCCCAGAATGGGATTCAACTCCTTACTTCGTGACTAGGGCAGGCGCTTTAACCACTGGGCCACGCAAGCGACATAAAAATTAAACATATCTAGGCCCGTTTAAAAAGTTTGATTTATATAATTGAAAAAATAACGAGTTTGTTTTCAATGATAAATGTTAAATTGATGTGATTTTTTTCTCTCGTAAATTTCAATCGTCAAAATTACATACTAGTAATTTGAATTTATTATGAACTTGGTTTAACTCAAATTTTTGTAAACCTGATACAAACTTTGCCGTGCAGAGTGGTACGTTGATTGAAATGTTTGTTAGAGGTTATGTATATTTCAATTTAATGAAAATTAGATCTTTGATCGGCTAGATCCGCAATCGAAAAGGTTATTTAAGTACAGTAGTGTACACTTGTTTTTACGTCAAGTATGTTCCGTGTTTCCTTTGTTGGTTATCAAAAGAACGATATATTGAAATCTACTAAGCTAACGTCACCCTGGTCATTACACTATTTTAAAAACAATGTTTAAAAAATCAAGCGATTTCTGAAGTTTTTTTTTTTCTTCACTTCTAACAAGTTAAAGTATTAATGACCGTTTTTAACTGTTATTTATTACAAAATGTTGTATACAATTGAAAATTTTGTACTCCTTTTTACTCTCCTAAATTTGGTATAACAAGCCCGTATGATTGTTATGTTCCCCAAACGAAGTTGGGGAACATATTGTTTTTACTCTGTTTCTTATTATTATTATTATTATTTTTCTTCTTCCTGGGAAAATCTTTTCCGCAAGTAATCTTGTAAACTACACATTTGATCAAGGTGAAACCTTTTTAGGGTCACTAGGCATGTTATGTAGATTTGCGGAACGAAGGTCATTTTGCACGCACGTGCTTGCAAGAGCGCACACGTGCAACACGTGAAATGACTAATATAATGGATATAGCCGTAACTTTTCTATTTTTTGATGAAATGTTTTGAAATTCATAATATAAGGATATATACGTATTATAGACAAGAGGACATGGTCAAAATTGCAAGATCTCACGCGCATGCACGTGTGCTTCGCTCTGATTGGCTGAAACTAAAGTCTCCATATCTTTCTTGTTTTTCAACAGAATACTTTGAAATTTTGAACTTATTCATACATTAGGGAGATCTACAGCCTGATATATAGGAATTATCAGGAAAGCATGCGCATGCACGTGTGCTTCCAAGAGCACGCACGTGCAACACAAGAAATGTCCAATATAATTGATATAGACGTAACTTTTTAATTTTTTATGAAATGCTTTGAAACTCATAATATAAGGATATATTAGAAGCATATACAAGAGGGCATGGTCAAAATAGCAAGATCTTATGCGCATGCACGTGCGCTTCTCTCTGATTGGCTGAAACTAAAGTCTCAATATCTTTCTTGTTTTTCGACAGAATTCTTTGAAATTTCCAACATGCTTATACATTATAAAGATCTACAGCATGATATATAAGAATTAGCATGAAAGCATGCGCATGCATGTGTGCTGCAATCTGATTGGCTGAAACTCGGAATGCCTATAACTTTCTTAGTTTTCAACAAAACGGGATGAAATTTAGAGTATGATTAGGTATTATTGATTCCTACATTTTGGTACTATTAAAATTGAATGCACGAACATGCATGCATGCACGTGCGCGTGCGAAGTACGCAAAATGACCAATATACTTAAGAAACAGTAGCATATATATTTTAAAGATTTTTTATTGATTCTTACAAAAATATAGATACGTTAATGGTTTAGACAACATGCCACGATCATCTTGCATGTGCATGCACTTGCTTGCACGTACAATGCATTAAATGACATATAGTTGATATCATTGTAGTTTTAATAATTATATGATGAAATAAATCCTTTAATACTGAGCATATTTTTAAAAAGTCTTACAGGAATTAGGTACAAAAAGGGAGTTGGGGAGCGTTTGGGGAACATCTGTAACGGTCCCCGTTACAATTAACACTAGTTTCATTTAAAAACCGTACATGATCGTTTTATAAATAGTTCTTTTGTCCCGACTCGATGGGCGGAGTTATAGAAAAGTGTGGGTTATGTACAGAAAACCCACACTATCACACCTAACTATGGTACAAAGTCAGTTAAACAATCAGATATCAAACAAAAATTGCAGACTCTATATCGTCTTTCATTTTGATTTCACTGGGAATTGTCAATTCGATAACAATTCGATATAAGAATGAAAGTAACTTAATGTACTGTTAACTAAATGCTGAGCTGAAGGCCACAGTAATTTTCCTTCTCACATAGCACTGTCTGAATAAAGATATGGCAGACTTTATAGTCATTTTGACTTCATCGGGAACTTTTAAAAATATATATATGTAATCTTTTATACATCATTTTTGTCCCTGCTTTCGCGAAAGCGAGGGGACATTAAATCATATTCGTTTGTCCGTCCGTCACAAAAACTTTAACCTTGCCGCTAAATTTTGATTTAATGGAGCTTTGACTTTCATATTTCAGATGTGTATTCCTTGTAATAAGACTATTCTTTGAGTACAACCAAATTTGAACTTTTGACCTTGATCTTGGAGTTTGACCCACTTTTACACAAAAACTCCATAAATTTTTACTTTGGCCATAACTTTTTAAACGGTAGATACTAGGGCTTTCATATTTCACAAATATTTATTCTTTGTGGCAATTAAGACCTTTTACTGGATACCGACAACTGTGACCTGGGCCTTGGAAATTTCCGTACTTATGAAAAAAACTTTAGCCTTATCCATAATTTTTGAACGGTAAGGGCTAGGGCTTTTATATTTCACATATGTAATCCTTGTGACAAGACCTTTCACTGGATATCAACAACTTTTACCTACATTTAAAAAAAACAAACCTTGACCTTAACTTTTGAACGGTTGCGGCTAGGGCTTTCACACTTCACATATGTAATACTTCTGACTTGACCTTTCTTAAGATCTTAGAGTTTGACCTACTTTTCAAAAACTTATCCTTGGCCAGAACTTTTGACCAGGTGGTGCTATGGCTTTCATATTCCCCAATCGTATTTCTTGTGAGAAGACCTTTACTTTGGGTACCAATATATTTAATTTGCATTAAGCAAAGTTTAATCTTTACTATGTTGTCATCAGTGTTTCATCTTGTTCCTTATAACTTTTGACTGAGAAGAGATAGGACTTTCATATTTGACATGTGCATTACCTGTGACAAAATACATGTATTTCTGAGCATGCTATGACTTATAACCCTTTGACCCTTTGACCTTCACGATTGACCTTAATTGTAAAAAAAAACAAAAAAACAACTTCAGTGATAATTTCTAAATGACATATAATAGGGCGTTCATATTTGACACAATATGACATAAAAAATGACACATCATCCAGAAAGACACCGAAAGCAGGGGGCCACAATTCTTTAAATTTGCTTGTACAATTTTTTTCTGATCTGATAAATAAAGAGCAGTCAGTATAAAATAAGATTTATATTTCTTCCTGAACAATTTACCAGGCAGATCACTTGCAGAACATCTATATAAAACTTTAACCTTAGTTCAAGAGGAAAAAAGGTGGAAATCCATGCCACTATTGACTAATTGGTAAGATCTTTATAAGATAGTTATGAACTCCTACCTTGATGACTGCGGTTTGTATTGCCCAAATAGGAAGACATATAACACAGCAGAGGATGTTCTCCAGGGTCCTTAGATTCTCAGGTTCATCACCATTTGTAATCAAAAGTTTGGCACCAACTGACTCACACTTTGTCGATGTAACTTTTCTGCACCATCGCTCAACTGACCCATTAAAGGATATCTTGTAAGAAATTTTAGAAGTCATACATTAGGCAAGTCATAAAATCCTGTTTCATTTTAGAAGGTCTATTAGCAAATACTAGTAACCGTTTTCATTCTAACAGCTAGGTCTACAAATTAAATACAAGGAACCATGCTCCTTGCTGATGAGAAAATAAATGGTTCCATCTGAGAATATAGTGACATTGAATATATTTACGTATACCTCAATGCAAAATTTCCCTTGTTGCTCCATGATTTTTGAACACCTCATTATATGGGCATTCAGCTGCTCACCAAGAACGCCACCAGTGGGCTCGAGCATCAGCAAACACGGGGCTTCATGTGGAAAGAGAATTAGGGGTTTAAAAATGTCCAAAAAAGTGAATTTTTCAGTTTCAATATTTCTTACTTCCAGACATTTCTCTTTCACCCCGCCCGGTTCCAAATTACAAATAAGTACATCTATTGAAAAATAATGTATTGCAAAAAAAGGTTCAAGCTATAAAAGACTGTTACAGTTGGCTATGATCAGTGGGTGGTTACTGGTTTGGGATCAGTGTCCTAACTCCGTGTCTATACTAAAACTGTTTAAAAACTATTTTAAAAGAAATTGGAGAAAAAAAAATATGAGGGTCGTTCAGTAAGTAATACAACATACAGTTTATCATAATAAATATAGAAGCACTGATATTTTCTCTCAAAGACGTTAGATATGCATGCGTTAAGTTAACAGGGTTTTTGGAGGAATCAAAAGCTTGTGTTTTAATTTGGATCGCATGCATTACCAAAGTTACCCTCGTTTTTGGCTCTCTTCGTGATCGCGAGTTATAGTCACTTGTTTTTTTGTCACCTTTGGTATTACAGTAACACAAGGTATCCAACTACAAATTACGCAAAAAAAATCCTTCCCCTCCCTAGAATAATTGTAATGATTCACACTTTCAAATATATGCACTGGCAAACTCTTTACAATTTTACAAACACGCGTAACACTTGTATTCTGACCTGTTATTATTTATCTAAACAGCCATATATGGCATGATAGTTTCCTATATGATACAGCGTATATATGTAGGACTCCAAAGTGCGATGGGACTCCAAAGTCCGATGGTCACGCCAAAGTCCGATGGTCTGCGCCAAACCCCGATGGTCTGACACGCCAAAGTCCGACGGTGCGGAAAACAATTAACGTTTATGACGTCATAGTAGCACTGCGCCCAAACCTCAATGCCGCGACATGCAAAGGTCTTTAGAATAAGTATAAATAAATGCGAAAACTAACCCTTAACTCTCAGGCAGGTGCGAGACTAACGCTCGAAAAGTGTGTATTAACAATAACCTTGAGTTGGTGCGAGGACTAACCCTAATTCACTCGGGTTGTGCAATGCAAGGACTAACCCTAATCAATCGAGTGGTGTGCGAGGACTAACCCTTATATCTCTAGATTGATTGATTGATTGTATATTGTTTAACGTCCCTCTCGAGAATTTTTCACTCATATGGAGACGCCACCATTTGCTGGTGGAGAGCTGCAAATTTTGTCCTATGCTCGGCACTTAGGGCCATTAAGCAGGGAGGGATCTTTTTCGTGCCAGCACCTACTGTGACACGGGGCCTCGGTTTATACGGTCTCATCCGAAGGACCGGCCTCCACGTCCCGCAGAATATCTCTAGAAGGTGCAAGCAATAAGCAAAATCAATAATAAAAATTGTGTTCAAGGACGAATTCAGAAATGATTGCTTTTGAATGCAGGACAACGGCGTCAAGGATTGACGTTGGATTATTGTGACGTCATAAACGTTGATTGTTCATCCGCACCATCGGACTTCGGCGTGTCAGACCATTGCACTTTAGCATCGCGCGTCTCATAGGAAACGAGCCATCGGACTTTGGCGTGGCCATCGGACTTTGGCGCCCGTAAAGACAATGAGCCATCGGGGTTTGGCGCAGACCATCGGGGTTTGGCGAGACCATCGGACTTTGGCGTCACCATCGGACTTTGGAGTCTTACATATATAATGAATATGTTACCTCGTTGTTTTTGTTTGGATTGTTTTCTGACTAAGGTCAACCCAAAAACTGATATTCTCTCCGTAAGTGACAATCTAAGCTCTTCAAGTTCACGGCTATTTTCTACGGTCAAAACCCTGAAAGAAATTACACCACAGAGGTTCAAAACATGATACTAAAGAAGATGTTTCAAAAATCATTAAAATAACAACGTACCAAACCAAGTTTTATATATATGAAAAAAATAAATTAATTTTAAATCACCTAGACATGAATATTTCATTCAAGGTTTTACAATAATATTGTATAAAATGATAAAAAGTCGTTTACATTATAATGTATGACAGCAAAAAGGTATAACTTTGAATACAACTGAACTAGTTTGGGACAGTAGTTGGCTGAAAGAGGAGGTAAACTGTATATCAGTACGATCGTTCAAAAACTTAAATTGTAGTCCATTAATTTTGCAATTGGAATACAGTTTTATTTATCTGATTTTTCTTGACAATCTTTCTAAGTGAATTTAATGATTTCTTTTGAAACGAAATGCTTACCAAGCCTTGCCGTTTTCGCTGATATTGCCAAGCGGGGGTTTATTCATTCTTGTGGCATGAAAGAAGACGTTTACTTCATCAGGGTCAAATGTTATGAAGCCAGTCTTTTCTAAGTGAAACAAATCATTGAGCTGAGTAGGATTTGACACAAACTCCTCCCAAGGAATGATTGTGAGACCATTATACTGCATGTTATACTCCCTCATATTTGATGTCGACTTGCGAAATTTCCTTGCGGTTCTATTGTGCTCAGTGAGTCTGTCATGACTTTCTTTTGACTGCCTGTTTTCATCTAAAAACGTCAACTGACCAGGACTTTGGAAGGGATTGGCATGGCTTTTCCTGATGTTTGAGATGCACGTTCCCCGCAGATAACCATCTACCATCACATTGGCACCTGACAGTGAGCCGGAGTTTGAGGCCGAGAGTGCTTCATTGTCCATCATAAGACTCTGAAATAAAGGAATGTCAAAATCTGTTGATGTACCGACATCACAAAACCTTGGAGATGAATCTATTAAAGCATTAGTACTTTTAATATGGCCGTAGGAACCGAGTAGGGGATACGCCAGGGAGAGTGAGGATGTCATTCTCCTCTAATAATGTTGTCCATAAATTGCTAGCATTTTATGAAAAAATACTTAATGTATGCTTGCGTCCCCTCAGTAATTACGTCTGATATCCTTATTTAAATGACTGTCAAGGTGTTTAGTTGTGCACCCCAGGCTTAAATGACTTGCTATCGGCCTGTATGTGATAACCGAAAAAGTTGAGTAGTACAGCAATCCATATTAGGGATTATTTTTGTTTGATCTTTAAAATGCCCCATCCCCACCCCAAGAAAGAAAAGATTAAGCATTGATATTCTACTCCAAGCAGAGACCAAATATTCCTCTGCCATCCCCTAAATATCGAGGGTCAGATCGAGTGCTTTCAATCAGTGGCGAGGATCAAACTAAAAGGTCAATTTTTTGAGGATTTTTATAATTCTATGACAAAGATTCCTATAAGCAACACTGTTTGCTGGATCCCATTTTGTCGAACAAGCTGGGTATCTTCTTCTGACTGATGCAAAACTGAACTTATGTCCTCAAAACTCCAATCTAAATAATTACTAGAATATTGTTCGAAATGAGGTTTCTAACATTTTATAGCAGACTTGTCCTTACTGACCAAGTCCAAAAAATTATATTACTTTTTTCTGTGCAAAACTTCGATTTCCCCACTTCATGCACTGTTACAACGCGAAATGTAATATCAACGCGAAATGAAATAAATCTGGATTATTAAATTTTGCGTTATTACATTTTGCGTCGAAATCAACGCAGAATGCAATAACGCAAAATGTAACAACACACTTTTGAGGATTATTACATTTCGCGTTATTACATTTTGCGAAGAGATCAACGCAAAATGTAATAAAGCAAAATGTAATAACACGATTTTTGGATTATTACATTTTGCGTTGTTATATTTTGCGTCGAGATTAAGCAAAAGGCAAGAACGCAAAATGTAATAACACACTTTTTTTCGTCAGCCAGATTGAGTACAATTTTCAATAGTGTAGTGGCCGATGAAAAGAAAATAAATCAAAAGGAAAAAGAATTGATGCATGTATATACAATTTCTTACAATTAATAAGTTTTATAATATATTGATTTAATTCGCTACATGTATTTAAAATCAGTTTAATAAATGTATAATTCAAATTATAGATATTGCAAATCAGAAACGTGCATCTGTGGGCAGGGTTGTTGGGGGTATTGACCAGTGTGCTTTTGCTTTTTTTATAGACAAATGCAACGACTCTAAAAAAAAATATTCATTTGTACTGGAAGGTGTAAATGTATAGCGGAAAGGGGTTTATTGACAATAATGATGCCATACCTTTCATGCAAATCACCAGCATTGCAAGAGCTTTTAATAAACCTATGGTCAATCTTTGATAATTAGATATGTGTTATTGGTTAGAAATTTAATACAACTATCAAAAATATGCCAATCAAAGGTAATTTAATTCATTATAACTAAAATCACAGTCAGAAAAACGATACAGTTAGGTTTATGTCCGTAAAAGCGCTAACCTTGGTCTCATCGATTGTTTTATTTCTAAATATTTTTTCAGCGTGTTTCCCATGTTGGTTGAATGTATATATTTGAATCAATTTTATGTTCTTTTTTGTTATACGGAATCAAAAAAAGTATATATATTTTGTTTTATTACATGTTGTTTTATTACATTTTGCGTTGTCTTCAGTGCAAGAATAAAATGACGCAAAATGTAACAACGAAAAAGCATGTTATTACATTTTGCGTTGATCTCGACGCAAAATGTAATAACGCAAAATGTAATAATCTAAAAATCATGTTATTAAATTTTGCGTTATTACATTTTGCGTTGATCTCGACGCAAAATGTAATAACAAAATGTTGTAATCCAGGTTTATTACATTTCGCGTTGTTATTACATTTCGCGTTGTAACAATGCACCCCCCCCCCCCTTTACTAAATTCGATGTAATCAAAAAGTACATGGATGGTTAGCCAATTCAATGAAATATCTAAGTAAAGAACTTTTTACGAGGTTATCCTGGCTTTTGTCGCATGATTCATTAAAAATAAAAAGCCTTACCTTTCAACAAATGCTTACAAAATGCACATGCAGCTATCTGAGTGCTTAATTCCGCATTGTACACATTTCTCTGAAACATTAGACAACATATCGTACCATGGAAAATATATTGATTATTAATCTTTAAAGGGTATGTTTTGTAAATAGATTTAAATACCTATAGTTCATTGAAAAACTGAATTAAAATGCTCATAGATATTAGAAAGCATTTTCTGCATTGGACGATTAAGAATCGAAAGGATTACTCTTGAAAGACAAAGCATTTGAAATGTTTTAATCTTTTCTTAAATATCTTTTAATCTGTCAATTGGCAGACGATTTAATCTACACGAGTTACATTTAGAACTTGTATACAGTACGTTACCATGTTCATTTCACGAGCACAGGGTTTTGTTTTCTAAAATGTATATTAATGGACTTTTGGGCTTGAGTACTGTTTATGTCCATATTGTCTTTCTGACATACTTTCTATTTATCAGCAGACGCAAAACTCAAATCATCCCGATCACAAAATGGATAAAAATTCTGGCGAATTTGACACATTAACCCTTGGACCGCATTTGGTGTTTGAGATTCCTGAAAATAAATCTTCCAGACTTGTGGTTATATTTGTGAGCCAGATGAATGTACTTCAGATATCATTATTTTCAATTGTTTAAATTTCTGTAAAGAATGGAGGCGCACAAGGCGAGGACAATATCCCGCTCTGAGAAAAGACATTTCTCAATTGTAAAAGTTATGTTTTTCAAAATTATATTGTTTATATCATCTTTTACACATTTGATTCTGTATTTCATTGCATTAATATTTTATTAAAAATTATTTTTAACTCATGTTTTTAAGATATGTGAAAAAGAAAAAGCTTCACGTATGATTCGAACTCTCTC